GGTTATCACTTCGATATTTAGTTTTTTTTTGTACTTATTTATATTATAAGTATATACATACAGTACAGTGGAGTTGATAAACATAAATATGATAGGGGGGGGCAGTATAACATGGGTTGTATTAAGGTGGAATAAGAGGACAGATCTGTCAGGATTATATCTAGTTGACAAGTATATTTATTGCAATGGTTATAGAGGTGCAAAGATTGGAAGAAATTAGTAATATTTAGAGACTTTGTGAGGCGTGTGTGAGATGTTTTGTGACGCTTCTACTGTGTACCGATGTGGTTACCAGTGGACATTGTTTCACTTCATATTTTTTTTTAACGCCCAAGAAAACTTTGTTATCATGGCGTCAACCGTTACCATGGTAAGACTGGGTGAGTTTTGTTATGATTTGCACCTCGTTACATGTTGACCAAATCTGCATACCCATTCTTGGGTTATTTTAGGGACAGACAGACAGACAGTACCAACAGACAGACAGACAGACAGGCAGTATCAACAACTAACATTGGTGGGCGGGGTAATGAGAAACTCAGTGTCATGTGGGCGTCAGGAGTCACCTGGAAATGTCATAAACGTGGCTGTACAACTGGTTGACACTTGACACTGACGCCCACCAGCTGTCACGACAGAGGCGACGATGAGACAATTGCAAAACGACGGATGGAGAGACAACTGTGTCAGTTATTATCAACAAGAACAGAAAACAACAGCAACAATTACATCGACATCAATAACAACAAAGCCAATACTAATATTAAACAGCAAAAACAATTGCAACAACAACAACCTGTCAGAGGACAGGTCGTGGCCTCACCTTTGGGGGAAGGGAGGGTAGAAGGGAAAGGGGGGGGGGGGTTTAAGAGGTGTGACGCCACTACACTTAAGGAGAAAGTTTATTTACTGTAGAAACATCGTCTTCACGGGCCTGATGTTGACTCAGTCTTGAGTTTAATCAGAAACAGTTTTGAAGTGAAAATCTTATTTAGAGTAAAACAAAAATGATTCAGATATACAAGTCGTAGTTTAGGAATAGAGTCCAAGTTGGGTGAAAAACAAATGTTATAAACAGATCCTTTATAATGGAATATTCTCTTAGAGAACAATTTAAGTAACTTACGAGAACAAGAACATCTGACTTTATACAGTAAATAAACACCAAAATTAAAATAAAGAAGCTTAATTACCTGAGAACACCATCAATTATTATACCTTACCTGTTTCACTCTGACCCATAGAAGGGCAGCAGCCGTCCGCCACGATGTACGATAATTATACAGGTGTGTGAGGCTGACTTAGGGTGAGCACAGGTGGGTTCTGGTCATTCATGCAGGTGACGCTGACAGGTATTATCCGTGATGAGATATGGTTCCAGGTTGAAATTTTTACTTTCAAACTTTCAAACACGAGGAAATAATAATGTATCCACTATAGCACTAAGTCTCTACCTGTTAATATATTCGTGTAACCCTTTTACAATATCAGAACTAACATCTCCCAAAATATAAAAATAAAAAGAAAATCTACTCAAAATCTAAATGACAAGTTTATAAACAATATCATATCTCTTCTCGGGGGTTGCTAGTTAAATAGGAAATAGATTAGGTAACCTGTAGTGCCCCTTATCTCCGAATTACATTTTTTTTAGATTGCCCCCGATTGGGCAGGTTTATTGGGCACCCCCTTGCATCCTGTGCAAGGTGAAGCACAGAAGCGTTTACAGCGCCCATCTGGGAAGCATGCGGAGTTCATGCTTACCTTTATGACTCATCCGTTAAGGGCGTAAAAGTCTGAAGGGTCATGGGTTTTGTCAGCAAGTTACATAAAGTGACAGAATGATGAGTATGTGGGGGAAAATTCCCGGTACAGTTTATCTGTTTATGGCAAAGTGTGGCAGGTCCCGAATAATGTCAAGTGCCAGGCCATAGCCATAGGCATTGACAGTATTGAGGGACATACCTTTTAGTGTGATTGTGCTGGCGTGAACGTCGGTAGTGTTGGTTTCAAGGGGGACGTCGAGAGGCTGGTAGGGGACGTCCTTCTTGGCGTAGATACGTAGTTCACTAGCATGTCCTCATGGTGGTCAATTGATGTGGAGAACTGGAGTGGATGAGCCCCAGGTGCCGGCATACCTGTGGGGGATAGGGAGCCGGGGGTTGTGTCCTCGGGTCCATGAGCAGGCGTGGCTTGCTGTGGGTGGACGGGGACAGCCGGGCACACCGGGGCAGGCTCGGTAGGTGCCACGCCAGCAATGATGCCAGGCGGCGGTGGAGTTGGCCATGAGCAAGAGGGGGGCTACCAGGTTGTGTCAAACCAGAAGAGGGGGGTGACTGGGTAGCAGCTGAAGGCAGGGGTAGTCTGTGTAGGTTGGAGATGGCTGTACAGAGTGTATCAAAGAGTCTTTCAATACGGTTGGTAAATTCGTGTAAGAGGGATATGATCTGTGGGGGGGCACCGGTGGGAGCACAAGGCCTGACAGCGTCAGAGTAGAGATGGGAAGGAGGCCCAGTAGTAGTTGAGTTAGGAGACGGCCGGGACTGCTGTGTTACAGCCAGGTGAGGCCAGGCAGGTGTTGTTGAAGAAGGCGTTGCCAGAGGAGGAGACGCAGAGGGATGCGTCCCGGTTACATAATGTTGGAGAGAGGCGCCAGGTCCACCTCTCTATACGACGGGGTCAATCTCTCTCTCTCTCGGAAAACTTTACTGACGTCATTGAAAAAATAAAAAACAAAATTCTCAGAAACCAGTTAGGGGCAGCGGGAAGGTACGGGTGGCAGGGCATGGGCAGGGCAGGGTAGGGCATGGGCAGGGTAGGGTAAGGCATGGACAGGGCATGGGCAGGGTAGGGCTTAATATTTACCATTATTTGTATCACTGCACTATATAGGTACATTTATATATATATATATATATATATATATATATATATATATATATATATATATATATATATATATATATATATATATATGGTTTATATACATTGTATTTATACCTGCACTGTTTGTTTATATGCTGTATGACGATTCTACTGAGTAAACACTCTCTCTCTCTCTCTCTCTCTCTCTCTCTAAGTGCCAAAAGGAATGTCTTATAAGGGATGATGGGGATTTGTGGCTTCAGGCTAAGTGGGGAAGGGAGTGGGAGGTAAGATGAGCTGGATGGAGGGCTAGGAGGAGGAGGAGGACATAGAAGAAGAACAAGGAGAGGAGGAGAGCAATAGAGAAAGGAGATGCAATGGTGAACACAAAAGAGGAAAGAGGAAGGATATTGAACAGAAGCTTAGCAGAATTAAAAGAGTAAGGAAAGGGAGCGTTGGGAGATTTTAGGAAGCAGGGAGGCACAAGGGAGTAAGGAGGCAGGGAGGGACGAGGGAGTAAGGAGGCATGGGAGTACAAGGGAGTAAGGAGGCATGGAGGTACAAAGGAGTAAGGAGACAGGGAGTGAGGAGAGACTGTAGTTAAGAAGATACAAGCAGGATTAAAGCAATATAAATCACTGCGCCTACTCCCATCAGTCGCCAAATACGGCATCACCGAAGGCACCAGCGGTTATATAACGAGACATCTCTCAGATAGTTACATGCTGTTGAACGTTTTAGGGAGCGATGCCTTGCAGTCATGCAACCAGTCTTCCTCCCACCAAGAAATGCTAACGAGTGCTGAAGAATGCTTGTCCTGTGTAGGTGTTTGGGGTAGCTGTCAGAGAGGAGTAACGTTTAGAGGCGATGGTGTTGGGCGGGGGGTGTATTGCCGTCAACAACACCCAACAGCGAACTGAGTTTATGCTTCGCTCAATAAAGCCGATGATAACGAGAGAGTAAGGGACTGTTGACAGAAATATCCCAACAGAAACAGTAGGATTGATTTCGCCTGGTGTGTGAATGGCAGCCTCTGGGACCATCATCATCAAGAACATCTGTAAGGGAAGCTTCAGGAGCAAGAGACCCAAGTATATAAACAACGGTAATCGGCCTTCTTCAGGAGACAACACCAGTAGAAGTATCAAGATCAACGGGACTCCTTCAGCAAAGAGTAAACAGAAGCAAACTCTTGAGCCACCACAAAGAGGAACGGGCGGTGGTGCGTCATCGTCCTTGCCAACTGCGTAGGAAAGAGTTAACAGAACGAGAACTTCCCCCCCAGGCGGCGACACACAGACCAAACAGAACTCACCGTAGAAACGATCACTGTCAATAGCCTTCAACATGAACCAACAGAAGCGACGCCATCCACCACCACCATCACCACCATCATCACCAACACCACCCTTACCACCACCATCACCACCACCACACACAAAATCCTCTCCAACTACACAAAAGTACTGAGCAAAGGAAACTTGATCTACCTGACAGACGGAGGAAGGGATAGACTAGCACCCGCCTCCCTTCCCTGTGTTGTTTGGTGGCGTCTTAGTCCGTCTACAGAGTCGCCACAACATGCAAAAAACTACCCCCTCCCCCACCCCTTAGATTCAGCCACTTTTTTATACCACCAAGTAGAAGTGTGGGTGCTGTTGATGTTTTTTTGTGGTGGGGGGGATGGGATGTATCAGATGCACCTGTACATAGCTAATTAGAGTCCAGCCTTCCCCCCCCCCCTCCCCTTTCGAGAGCTGTTAGTGATGAGTTACAGGTCGTGTGTGTTAGGTTGCTGAGGTGAGGAGAGTGAGAATGACCCCGCATGTTTTTTTTTATTTTTAACCAGCTGATTAAGGTTAATGAGGAAGGTACTGACTCACTTAATGTATGAGTTGATGAGGGTAGATGTTCAGGTACTTATGAGGGCATCTGGTCCTCTTCGGCTGCGTAGTTTTGATCTTGAGTCATGAGGGTGAGTGAGTGGGTACAGTATTAGCCTCAGTTATGGTGGAGCCTCTTGGGAATGCTAAGCGGACGGCCCATAACGTTCACCATCCTTCCTAGCTATGTTTTGTTTTTACTCCCAGGTGGAAATTTTATATCTTTCTTAACATTATATATTCTTTTCCCAGGTGGAAGAGCGACGCCGCCTTCGGTCGTCTCAGTCGGTGGTTCGCCATCTACTCAGCGTATGCGTGGGGCCTCGCTGTCCTCATCACCTCCGTCGCCTTGGCCAGGGACTTCTCAGAGGGCCTCCAGGACTCCAGCCTTCCCAAACCTAACTTCGGCCAGGGGAAATGTTGGTTCTCAGGTGAGTGGCTGATAGGTGATACTTCTTCCTTCCTTATAAATGAGAGAGAGAGAGAGAGAGAGAGAGAGGCATCTGTTCAAGATTATTTTAAAGGCCGTTTGACGAACTGGGTGGTGATGTATCGTGCCTTCGTTTCCGTTTTAATTCTTGTTTTACTTCAGAAACAGGTGTACAGGAACAGGTATAATTACAGGTACAAAAGACTATCACGGTACAGGATCATAGAACATACGAAGTGAGTGACAAAAGTTGGAATATGTACAGAGATTTCTTTGGCGAGTGTAACTTCTCACTGTCCTTCGATTTTCACTCCCGGGTATACAGTCAGTCGCTTGAAGGAATATTTAATAGCTGTCTTAAGTGTGCACCTTGTAAGACGCCGGTAAAATAGTGTACTGAGAGGAGGAGGAACACCTGTCTCTTCCTCCTGGGTCTTTGTCATGATAACTATACAGTACCTGCCATCACTCACCTCCCAGACCACCAACAACACCCCCACATCCTCCTCTTGATAATTCCTTTGCTATCAAGAGTCTCCCCTGTGTGTGTTAAGTGCCTCCCGAATCTAAATATCTCTTGAGCGTTTACCAGAACCTCCCAATGAGAACTCTATGTAGACGTGATATTCCCCAGGCGTTCTTGAAAGACAGCCTTACCTACCTATGTACTTAGAAGACCCACCAGATATATATAGCGGGGAAGTACGTGGTCGACTGGTCACTCAGGGTTGGTGGCTACCTACCTTGGCTTACGTGCGAGAGAGTCGGGTTTTATGAGAAGAAGAGTGGAGGGGATGGAACCATTACCTAAGTTTTACGGCGGGATGTGAACATGTTTATCGGTGTAGGGGATGGGGGACGTTCAGGTAGAGAGGTGAAGAGGACCTGGAAGTGTGCGGGGACCTATACAGTACTTACTAGTGTAGGAGGGAGGAAAGGTGATCAGTGAGAGGCGTGAACGGACGGGAGGAGATGGGATGGTGTGTGTGTGTGTGTGGGTGGGTGGGGAAGGTTGAATGGGTTGTTTGCAGAAGGTAAGTGTAGACGTCTTGTAAGAAAGAACCATGATTATGTGAGGAGGTCGGGGGGGGAGGATTGGGGAGAAGGAGGTGTAAAAATGGAAAGAGGAGGAGGAGGAAGGAAGGAACAGGAAAGAAAAGAGAAGGAGGGACTGCACGGAAAGTTGGATACGATAAGGTGAATTGAATAACGGGGGAGGAGAAAGAGTGAATGAAAGACGGAAGAGAAACTATGAATGAGAAGCAGAGACGAGATGAAGGAAAGAACGGGAGGGTTTGGGAAGTGGGAGAGACGGAAGGGATGAAGTAGAGATAGAGGTAGAGGTAGATGTAGATGCAGAGACAAAGGAAAGGGGATATGTAGTTAAGGTGTTGGTTCCGGAGGGGGAGAGGATGACCCTAGGGACACGGTGGCACACACACACACACTACCACCACTCTCGTTTGTGCTCCGTCAATCTCTTGTTGAGGAACAGTGTTGACTAACTGATTGACTGTTTGATTGGTTAGGTAGTTGACTGATTGATCGATTGATTGACTGACTGATCGATTAACTGATTGATTGACTGGTTGACCGACTGATTGGCTGAAACAACTTTGACCAGCCAGCGTATACAAAATCATTGATCTTGAATAGAATGGGTGACGGTCGATTGACTACAACACTCTCCTCCCAGGGTCGACCCAGCTGTGATTATGTACCTGACTTTAGCTGGGAGAGAAAATATAAAACAATCGGGTATAATTCAGGCCATATTACCTTACTTGTAAATGCAGTGTGCTGTATCCAGTGTACCCATAGATTACCTTCGTTTATTCATCCACAAATTATTAAATTTTATATCACCCTTTCAAGTCCTTTAAACAAAACCTTACAATAAAAATAATACCAAAATAAATAAAACCTTTAAGAGGATAAAGAATTTTATTACGAGTTAGAGCGATATTATTAAAGAAAGTCTCGACCCAGGGTACTGAGGTGATGGGGTCTCATCGGGTAACTCACTCTCTCTCTCTCTCTCTCTCTCTCTCTCTCTCTCTCTCTCTACTATCTGAGACTTGGGCAGCATGAGACAAGATGAAGCGGTGTTTGCCCTGTTGGTGGCGCATCACGAATATATGCACATAAAAAAAAGATACTTACAAGGTGGTATTTTTCTTTCAATGATAAGATTGTGGTGTGTGTGTGTGTGTGTGTGTGTGCCATGCCTCCAGTTACTACACTTTCATCAGTACCTTCTCCCCCACGTCTTCAACCTCCAAAGCACATCCCTGCTGGAAGATTCTCCTTCCCTCCCTCCCCCCCCACTGGCTTGTCAGCAGGGCCTATCAAGGGTCCCCCGGCTGCCACCCTCACCCACGTTACTAGGCGTACATTCTCTCTATGCTACTAATTACTATACAGGTAACTTCCTATGTTGACCCAGTACTTGATTTATCTTTACGAGCGCTGATCATTACTTATGTGGCCACTACATCTGCCAGAGACCCCTGCACCTGACGCCCACTTTTCTCCTTCTTGACCCACCTCCTTTTCCTCCCACCCTCGCCTCCTTTCTCCTTGACTACGCCTCCTTTCTCCTTGATCACGCCCCTTTTCTCCTTGATCACTCCTCTTTTCTCCTTGACCACGCCTCATTTCTCCTTGACCACGCCTCATTTCTCCTTGACCACGCCCCTTTTCTCCTTGACCACGCCTCCTTTTCTCCTTGACCACGCCATCTTCCTCCTCTCCTTTACGACGCGCTAAAAAATTTCACCTTGGATAACCCGGTAAAGGATGCGCTTTTAACCTTGATCATTGCGACTACATGGTCTGGCTTCTCTCCTGACCATGCCCCCCGCCCTCCCTGACCACACCTCCATTCCTCCCCTTGCCAAGCCCCTTTCTCCCTGACCACGCCTCCTTTCTTCCCTAACCACGCCCTCTCTTCCTCCTGCAGGTGACGAGGCGCTCATTATCTTCTTCTACGGTCCCACCTCCGTCATCCTGGGCATCAACGTCGTCCTCTTCTGCGCCTCCGCCTACAAGCTGTGTTCCCTCAACAAGAGCACTGAGGCCAGGATGTTCCAGTAAGTGATACAGGCTCTCTCTTTATATATATATTTCTCTATCTCTATCTCTATCACTCTCTCTCTCACCCTCTCTCTATCTATCTATCTCTAAGTCAAAATCATTCACTCAGACTCATAATTCTCGTCTCATTCAGCCATTGTTGTCGCCAGGTCTGCCACACGCTTATCGCTGCTCATTTGTTGTTCTGTGCATACTACAGGGCCTTTGTTTATGAGGTGGACGTGTTGTTGTTTAATGTGGCCAGGGATTAATGCAGGTGCGAGGTTAAAAAAACAATTAATTTATTTAGGTACTGAAGGTCTGCATAGTCACCAAGATAGATAGATGCCGTGATGAACACCCTCGTCCCAGGGCTGTTAGTGTCTGTCTTGCATAAATACTTCAGTACACCAACCTCTCCTTAACCCCCACCCCAACCTGTCACCTACACCCTTCCGCGTCTGTAATTCTCGATTCTTGCCTTTCATTTATCTTTATTTTTATACATTTTTGTTATGCTATTCATACATTTTCCTAGTGTTTCATTTCTGAGTTCTTTTATTTTTATTTGATTTTGTTTTATGTTTCGAGTTTTAGTAGATTTTATCTTTCTTTTTCACACGTCTTCTCCCCGTTCATCTCTCTCTCTCTCTCTCTCTCTCTCACAAAATGAAAGTCATGGTGCTGTTCATTTATCATGCCTTCATGTGGGCTGAATTATTCATCTCTCTATCCCCTAAATGCTTGGCGATTCACTGAGGGAGGGAAGGAAGGGTGAGAGGAGGAGGATGGGCTGAGATGACCATATAGCGTTTGTTGTGATTCCGTCTCTTTGTTTACCATATCCAGCTGATCCTATGACGTGTGGCCTCTACTATAAATATTATTCTCCCCCCCCTCTCTCTCTCTCTCTTCCTATAAACTCTAGTCACTATACTGTGTCCACTGTATAATTCCTCTCTGTTGATATATCCACAGCTCCCTTCCTCCCTATCACTCCCTCTCTCTTTCTCACCCTTTCCGCATCACCCTCCTTCCTTTCCTCAGACCCTCGCCTCCCTTCCCTTAGCCTTCCCTTACCCAGTCACCCCCTTTCACCCTCTCCCTTTCTTTCCCTTTCTTCTTCCCTCCCTCCCTCCTTCCCTTCCTCTCCCTCCCTTTCTCCTTCCTTTCCTCCCACTTCCCTTCCTCTCACTTCCTCTCTCTCTCTCTCTCCCTACCTCTCCCTCTATATCCCTCCTCCCTCCCTCCCTCTTGCCACCACCCGAGTCTTGCTATACTTTTCACTTCGTCTGTCACAGTTCCTGTTGCCTAGATTGTAATATAAATGTGCAGCAGTGGACAGAATTCCCTGGATATTCTGGGTAATAAGTGAGGTGTCCTTAAGACTCTTGTAATGTTATTAACCACTTGTATACTTGTACTGTTTATTAGTTATAACCTGCTGTACTACCGAGAGCTTGTGTGGGTGAGTGGGTGGGGTGTGTGTGTGTGTGTGTGTGTGTGTGGTGTGGGTGTGTGTGTGTGTGTGTGTGTGTGTGTGTGTGTGTGTGTGTGTGTGTGTGTGTGTGTGTGTGTATCTGCCTCTGTTTCTGTCTGTTTTTATCTATCTGTCTGTCTGTATATGAGTATTTTTATTTGTTGTTCGCCCCCTTTTCCTTTTTTTGGTGTATACAGTTTTCTTCCACTTATCTTTTTGTTGTACTTCCCTTCTGACTGTTCCTTCCTTCTTTCCTTGTCATTTCTCTTTCCTTGGTTAACCTTGGTCATGTAATAACATAAAAAAATCATGAAAAAGTAAAGAATGCCACTTCTAGTTCACCAAGTTGCCGCTAGAGGGTTATACTTTTAGTTCTGTGTACCACCGTTGGGAGGAGTCTTTGTTCCTTCCTCCCACAAACTATGTATTACTGTCCCGCCTCTTCTGCTATCCTCGCTCCACCCATTTAATCACAAGGGAGAATTCTCTTGACCTTAGCAACAGCTTAAAAGGCCTCGTCTCTTCCTTACCTCTCCCGTCCTTCCCACTCCTCTATCTTTATACCCTTCCCTTCCTCTCTTCCTCCTTTCACTCACCAAGGCCACACGCTATCCCCATTCCTAGCCCCCTGACAGATGCACCTCATGGTAGGCCTTTGTTCACTCTTTACCTTCCAGTTTCAGAGTATCTCATCAATCTAAATCTGAAGTCGTCCTTACGTAACACACAGTGACTCCTGGAATAGTATATGCATAGTCGTAGTCTTTCGTCCAGGTCACACTGTACCCTGAACCAGTAAAAAGCAATTAGCCACATGAACTACACAGTAACTACCCAAGTCGATACGATCATAGAAAATGGGATGTAAGGTTGATTGACCTGTCGAAACCCTGCAATTGTTGTTTATAAAGAAGCTTTGTTACGACTTGTTACATAACTGCAATCTCGGCGGACTTACAGTAACAAGTTTTAAAACAAATCTTAAAGGTACTGGACCGTTAAGCGAGGTTGTTGCTGGACTGACTGGAGATAATATATAACGTGATATAAACTGTGTCGTGAGACCATCTTAGCTGGCACAAACAACAGATGCCTCAGGAACTTACTGAACGAATTATTTCCAACTGAGAGATATAAGCTTGTTTCAGGCGCTGGTAAGAGTATCTGTTTACTTTTGTTACGAGTTGGGGATTTAGAATATAGTTAAAAGTCTACCCAGATCCCAACAGGCAACAACAAAAAAAACCCAAAGACAATCGGACTATAAAAGGGTAGACAAAGGATGCGAATTTTTGTTGTGTATAAGAAAGTACCATAAATTCCTTAACAAAATATTCAGCTATCTATAATTTACCCTTAACCATACTTAACCTAAACATTAACAGTAAATACATATTTATACAACATACAATAATTTGAAGCAAATACTTAAGTGCGGAGCTGAGATGGCCGACGAGTAAGGCTGAGTATTGTAGAAGACGGTAGGTAGTCACTGTGTCGTAGGTTTCCAGGATAGGTGATCCTGTGGTCACTTCCCAGAGTGTACTGCACTCTCCTCGAACTCGAGCTGACAAAGAAGACTTGGAGGAGGTGACCAACAACCAGGATATGGAGAAGGGAAACCCCGGAGTGGTAACTAAGACGAGTCACACTCGTGTCTCGTCCCTAGATGGCGTTGCTCGTGGTGCTGGGTAGGTAGATCAGGACAATTGGTGGCGTGGTTCGTAACACTTTGCAGAACACCTGGAGGAGGTTAGTGAGGTGGGAGGAGGAGAGGAAGGTGGGGTGGGGGGGAAGAGGAAGGGGGTCAGTGTTGTGTAGATGTGTTTGTTGTCTGTATAGAGATGTCATGTTTGGGTCTAGATCTTCATCCGTTTGTACAATACTTATCTGTGGTAGAGCGAGGGAGGTTGTGTAATCCTGCATGCATGACTTTTAATCCACCCATGTTTGTCCGGTTATCTCTTGAAGGTCAACACGGTGAGGAAGTAGACTACATTACTCAGTGACAAGTTGTTCTGTGTCAGGTAGGTATGTGGTCGTCCCCTCATTACTATGACCTCTAGTATGTGGTCGTCCCCTAATCACCTCGTTACTGTAACATCTGGTCTGAAAAATTGGGCCTTCTTCATGTCTTTATCCATTACATCATTATTAACATCTCCTTTATTGTGTTCTTCCTCAGGTTCAGTCTCTACCTGAAGCTGTTCGTGCTGATGGGCGTCACCTGGATCTTCGAGGCCATCTCTTTCTTCGTCCAGCGAGAGACCAAAAATTCCAGCGGCAACTATGTCTGGTGAGATACATTGCCTCTATTAATTATCCCCTATATCCTTCCTTCTCGTTATATAATTATCTCTCTGGACAATCTCTCACGTCTCGGACTCTCACCGTCGGCAAGTACTAAGTCTGGACACCTGCTGAGCGTACCTGAATATGCGCCGATGTTCAGATACATTCAGGAGCCTTTTTCCCCCTCCCCCATCCTTCAGATCCCTCCCGCCTCCCCTCCTTCAGATCCCTCCCGCCTCCCCTCCTTCAGATCCCTCCCGCCTCCCCTCCTTCAGATCCCTCCCCCTCCTTCAGATCCCACCCCCTTCCCCAGATCCCACCCTCTCCCCCAGGTACAGTTGTGGACAAAATTTCCTGAACACTTGACACAGAACTCACTATGCCACTGTGTTACTGAATCTATTTACTGGTTTATAAATTACCAGTAAATATAATAGAATGTAAAGTAAAGAGAAGTTTTTTTCATTAACCTTCTGACATATTTCTCAGTCTAAGTTCAATTCCATTGACCTTGACACAGCATTCTGGGATTTTAATACAGTTTACTTAACCCTTAGACATAACTCCAGGTCAAACTCCACAAACCTTATAACCTTATTTGTGGCATTTGTGAATGTTAATTAACCTTTTGACATCACTGTATTGATATAACTTTTTAACATTGGTATATTTCACACTTTTGTCTAAACATTATCTCTCTACTACTGTTCCAGGCTGGTATTCGATCTGATCAACATCATGCAAGGCCTCATCATCTTCCTGGTGTTCGTGTGTCGGCGAGCAGTGTTGGTGCGTCTGTGTGAGGTGTTGTGTGGCGTCTCCTATGCCAAGACCAAGTTCCCCACCCACTACCAGAACACAGAGGTCGACCTCACCAACAATGAGATCAAACACTCGGTAATCTGAGGGGTCGAGCGAGGTGGATATTTTGTAAAAGTTTATAAACGTTGAGATCTTTCATTGAAGGTAGGATTTACTACTACTATTATGTGCTATTACTACTACTACTACTACTTCTACTTCACCGCTGCTGCCAAAAGCCAAGATATGATAAGGGAGAGAGAGAGAGAGGCTATGAGGTGGTGATGACCCTGCTTCATGGCCCCGCATGAAAAGTCATCGCCACGGTGATGATGAAGATGTCGATGATGGTGATGAAGATGATGATGATGATAATGATGGTGGTAATAATAATAATCATGGTGATAAAGATATTGACAATGTTGACATTAATGAGGCTGGTTTTGTAATTGCAAGTGAGGTATTTCACTCATCGTAACCAGAACTTAGTGAGTGTGGTGAGTAGCTCTGTACAATGGTGTGAAGAAAGAGGAGACAGTGTTGGCAGTGTGTGTGTGTGTGTGTGTGTGTGTGTGTGTGTGTGTGTGTGTGTGTTTGTGTGTGTGTGTGTGGTTTACTGACTGTGTATAAATAATCTTAGAACCAAAGAAAAAAGTTGAGTGGGAGGTTTATAAACAGTGTGGAGACAATAATCACTATGTTCAGTATCTTGAGACAGTCTTTGTTATCCTGTGTCTTCTCTGTAAGATCTGGTACAATAATATTCTTGGGAGTTAACTGCAGGTCAATACTTAGAATTCAAGTTACCTTCAATCTCAAGTATTTAAAATAAATTGTCCATTGTAAGAAAAAACCTAATCTAACCTTGGTTATTGTAACATCTGAGACAGCAATGCCAATAACAACGATTAGGTGATGTAGTTTAGTGGAAAAATCTTGGTACAGTATTAGTAAACATTGTGAAACTTTGTAATACTGAAGGTAGGAGTTTCCTTATAACCATCTTCTGAAGGTAGTTATATCATGACCTGAGAACTGATAAGTGGCTAATTGACCTGGATCCACACCTGACACACTCACACAGGTAGACAGAGGTACAAATGTGACTATTTTCTTGTTTGATTTGCTTGCTTTTCATGTACATAAGTTGGTCTTGATTTATTAAGAAGAAAGTCATACAGGTGAGACTTCAAAACCCCCATTATTAATATTCTATCTCATGAAGTTTTTGCTCACTGGATGCTGGGACCATCACCAGGTCATGTATATTATAATATTCCTCCACCAGTGTTAAATTGTCATCACCTGTTAATCTTTATAGGTTACATTTAAGTTATAGTTTCATCTCCCAGATCAGTTCCCGACCAGAGTAATAATTATCACTCACAGGTACCGTAATAACACTACCATTATCAGATCTAAGTTATATTACATGCCCATGGTTTTAAATTACCACACTGTAAAATTAATATAAGACGGAGACTAAAAATAATGGCCAGAAAATCACTTGTTTGGAAAATGGCAAAATCTACCATTATTTTTTTACCTGTAGAAAAGGTGACATTGGCTTATAGTCCATGGGCAGTCATGTATGTTCTCCTCAAGAATGCTGAATGAATCTCTTTGTGACCTTTTCAACTTAAAAACATGTTCACCAGTGTAGATATTGTACCCTGTATATACAGTAGTGCTTAGAGCCAGTAAGAGATCTATATGACCATCACTGTTAAGAAGGTGGTAAGATCGATGTGTAAAGAGGAGATGATGAAGTATAGAGAAGAGAGAGAAAAAAAACTAGGTAAAGTTGCTTGCTGATGAGTATAAAGGTTTTTACATATGAGAGGAAGTTCTTCAGACAACACGACCACTGTAATCCCGACAGCTTGTTGTGGAGTTCCTGACATATGTGATGTAATAATGACCATGACTTAAGCACTGTAAACCTCCTCTGGCAGATGAATCCTTGCTCCAGTGTTACAGACGTCTCTGTTTCTATCATCTTGTAGCAGTACTAGTGAGGCTGTGTATGTGTGTAAAGAAGCAATGGCATGTGTACTATGAGAGCTTGTTGTCACTGTGTGATATGGAGGACGACTGGACACACACACACACACTGGAGAGGAGGAGGAGGAGTGCTACAGTATGGTCAGGTGTGAGAGGAAAGTGACCCTGATTCAGCAAATTGTTTACAAGTGACTGTTACCCCAGCCAGTTAAGGATCCTGAGTGCTGTAACTGAGAACTGATAGAAACTTTTGTCTGATTTTGTTACATAACTAGATAAGAAAGTAGTGGCACCAGTTTTAACAAAGACCAACACAGCCAGAGGATCATACCTGGTGCCTGATTATCATTAACTAAAGGCGCCGACCATAACTGTTCATAAGAGCATTTATCATATTCTTTTTTATATTTATTTACTTAGTATCTGTTTTTAATGTTCTCTTATGTTAATATTGTTATTGTTACTTTGTATATGAATTTGTTTAATGTATTATGCTGTAATTTTCATTTCTCTTCTTCTAATGAGCCAGTAAGACATTTTTATGCCCTGACAAAAGATGGACGTCTTAAATTTTCCTTTCTTGTTTCTAACTTTCTTGCACATTAATTTGGTTCCACAAACTGTTGTCTTTAATGCAGTAACAAATCAGTTGAACAGTAAATATATTTTTTGTAATGAGGTACTCCCAGACAGGTGTGTTAAGGGTACTTTATTACTACAGGTAGGAGTCATTACAACCCCAGCCTGGACAAAATGCAGTCTCAAGTTCAAAATGTTGTAATAATTTTTCGAAGTTGAAGACTGAACCTGAGATGTTGTAACTCAGATTAAGAAAATCAACCCAAATGTATAATGTTGCAACTTAAGGTTTTGAGGAGTCGCTGTTATAACAAACCAGTTTCACAACACTGTACTTGGTTGGCTGAAATATTAATATAAATTGTGTATGTATAACTATATAAGTCAAGAATCTTCACATCAATAGCAATCAATACCTGTTATTATAAATTTAGAAGACCTGCAAGTACATTCACATTTTAAATGACACACTCACAGTAAGTTATGAACATTCTAAATATTTTTCTGCTTGTTGATGAATGCCATTGATCAACCACATTCTTATTAACTGTGCCCAGCTCACCTCGAACAGGGCTGTTATCATAGCAACACTGATAATCATGTTGGAACTTCAGTGTGTGTAATTCTTGCTGATTATTCTACACACTGTAGGTATCCTAATGTAACAATATAAAACAAATTATACAGCTACTATTGTTTTTCTCAATGTTCATTTCATAATACTGTAAATCAGGTTAATCAGGGCATGAGACTTATATGTTATTACAATGATGAATGTGAGAACACGAGGAGGGCGAATCATTTACCTGTTTACACTCACCTGTAATATTTTAACAATTAGGGCATCGAGTTTTGTGTTACAGGTGTGTCTCTCCCTCACAACCTTGCTATAACTGCAACATGTTGTACTTATATGTGATTATTTTATGCTATGGTTTGCTGTATGTGCATTGCATATAAACTGATTTACATGTAGTGACTTGTTTCATAATCCTCTTAATAATAATGATGATGATAATAAGAACACCTAGAGTTTAATCTGTGTTATTAAGTGTTGTTTGTTGTAATATTTAAGGCCAAGTGAATAGTGCTTAATAACCTTGGCTGTTGAAATACTTGTACAGGTACAGTCAGGGTCAAAAGTCTTGATCACTTTGCAATACCTGGCATCTACTTCCGAGTTATATATATACAGTATATGATTGGGATATACTAATAACACTACTTGTCATCACATATTATGCCTGAACCACAAAATGGGATAAAACTCTCCTTAATACCTAAGATCTTCGGGTACTTACATGCCAAATACTGTCAAGTGCTCAAGACTTTTGACCCCGACTGTACAAGGGCTGGTGTACAAGAACCGGTATAAAAAGAGTGGTGTACAAGGACTGGTATACAAGGACTTATATGCAAAGGTTGGTGTACAAGGACTGATGTACAAAAAATGGTACACAAAGACTGGTGCACAAAGACTGATGTACAGTAGCTAATAAAAGTTCCTGTGCATACTTAGTGAAACAATATGAGACCATGGACGAGAGGTATTAAGATATGGGTGTTGTCTCCTTATACTATGTGATAGTACAGGTAATCACTTAACTGTATATTTAATTCTTCTATGCCAACTCGCCCCATGTTGGATATTGAATAGCTGTGGGTGAAGACACGCATACCAAACCTCCCAAGACATCACGAGCTGTACGTATAATTTCGGAAGTCATCAGACCCACCCTGTCAGATACTTTTCTTTTAGCTACTGTAAAAAGAATTATAGTGAAGATTAAGATGTCTTATATTCATGTGAGTATTCCTTTCTTGACAGGCACTTATTTGTACAGTATGCGAAACACTGTATTTTAGGGATATTTTTGAGGGATCACTCTTAGTGCATACATGTACAGGTTGACGTGATGGTCATGCACCACTGGAAAATCAATCTCTTTTATTTCCAGTTGAAGGAATAAAAAAAAATAACAAAGATGTAGTGACAAGGATCAGTCAAATGGCCACCGACATCTTTCTTGAACTCCAAAACAGTACTGAATCTCAATTTTTTCCTCTGAGGTCATACAAAATCTGTTGTCTGCCAAGACCACCCAAGAACCATTCAATTGGTCCTGGTCAGTGGTCACCTTTCTTCTTTGACTTATGATTCTCTCACCTGAAAAGGAAAAAAGAACATAATTTTCCTATGGTGCACAACTTATGTGTACAATTTCTGGTTAGTTAGGTTTAGGGAATCGTTCACTTCAGAGAAGAGGACAATTATTTATTGGCAGTGGCAAATTACAAGCTAATGATTCTTAACACAAAAATCATCCTATTTCGAAGACTCACTCAAGTTTGTCAAGTGAGAGATGAGAGTCAAGTACAGTATGCAACAGGAATTAACCCACTAGATTGTTCTGCCTCTACTGGCATATATAGCTGTATATCCTGGTGTCTCTGATAGCTTCACTGAATTTGAAGCCTTGCTCATTAAGGAACTCCAGGGCCCTGTTACCCCAGCACCCAAAAGTCTCTGGTCCTACCGACATTTAGCAAAATGCTAGTCCACCATCAGTAGGTACACCTGATAGTGTACTCAAGTTATTGGCAAGTATGCTAAGATGCTAAGTATGTGTACGAGGAGGAAACCCAACTTTTCACTGGGCATTTACAATAATCTCATTAATGATTTTCAAAGAATATACAAATTATCAACACAACTCCTGTCTTAGAATATTTCTCAAGTCTTCCTTTGAAATCCCAGATTAAAAACTTAAAACGAAGAGGAAATATGAGGAAGTTAAGCCAAAGAATATGTTGCGATGTAGTATCTGGCTGGATTTTATTTGCAAGTAGTCCACAATTTTAAAAGCTGCGGGCACAGATGTAAAAACTAAATATGTCAGTAGTCAAGAGTGAACATTTTCTGATGCACATATACATGGTAATTAGTTTCATCAGGATTTCAAAATCAAAACAACTAAATCTGTATACATATGATTACACTTTAGTACTGAAAACTACAAGCAGTACTGTACAGTACTAGAAATATTTGCAGGATGGTGTCGATGATATATTATATAATCATTTACAGCTATTAAAGTAAAACATCCATAACAAGTATCATAACAAGGTACAAATAATAGAAATATATCAACAGAAACCTTCCTTTTAATCTTAGTCAGGCTGTAGTACAGTGTACAAAAGGCACTATGTAAGGCATAATCAAATCCAAACAAACATCTACAGTTGCTCACAAGGAACAAACATTACAGAAGAATAAGCTGAATAGTTCCTTAAAATGGAACTTAAAAAAACAAAAATAAGAGTTTTAACATTTCATAGGGATCAAAACGTCCCCTTTCTACCAAGTAGATATTTATGGCACTAACACCTGAAGATCATCAGACGGCTCTATTAAAATAGCAATGTATCTTACAGGTAACCTTAAATAATTTTCATGGACATAGTACCATAATTTCAGATGTAATTACATCATGATGATAATACATAATCTAAATCAGACTATCAAGCACTGAACATTATAAAACAAAACTAAAAATAACAATACAAAAGCCTTTTGCAAGTTTCAAAGAAGTTGCTATAGCATCGACTAGAAAATTAGATAAATATACTGAATTTCAAAATGCAGATTGAGAGAGTTTGTATAACACTGCACTAGAGTAAGAGACACTCGTAGCCTGAGGTAAAGATTGTTTGCCCACATACTGGATATCTTTAACACTTATTTACCATATACTGCACAGTACACATCTGCACTTACTGTTTTGCTGCTGTCAGATTCCAATCCCTCAAGAATAAATAATTATTTCTTTAAATCCTTAAAAACCTTATAATAGTCTTCTTGAATGAGAGATGAATAGAAATGAACAAAATAAAATGGTTCTTTACTATCCAGTTTCACTTTGGTATAACAAAATGTTTCTGCTTGAGGGAAGTGTAATACTAGTAGTAGACCTCTCGCTAACAGTTAGAGTCACTGGTACTAAACTTTGGCAAGATAATAACTGCCGTAACTAACACGTATTTGCAACACAATTGCAATATCTAATAATGAAAGCATGACAAATGGTATATGACCAGATATTCATATTAAAAAACTTATAGGGCTCTGTTATCTTATACAATTCTATACAATTTAATGCAAACAACACACACACACAATAAAAATAACATGAGGCTCAGCAAAACTAAAAATCTGTTATACGTACTTGAATTGTTGTTAAATAATAACTAATAAATTAAACAAAGGAAGTGTTTACTTATCTTGAGAAAATATTCAAATTGGCTTTATATATATATATATACATATAAAGCTGGATGGACAATCATTAGTATGATACATTTCATGGCATTTCAAGTTTGTTTAAGCCTATTGTGCAATTAAATTTATAGGAGTACTGAACTGGAATACAGTACACATATACAGTGTACAATATATATATATATATATATATATATATATATATATATATATATATATATATATATATATATATATATATATATATATATATATATATATATATATATATATATATATATATATATATAAGTACTGTATATATATATATATATATATGGCTGTGAAGAAACTTTAGATACTGTAATGACCATGGTTGCTTAGAGGTATTATAAGCAAGATTATTATTTACACAATACCAAATAGTTTTGATAATTAATACATTCTGAATAATTTTTTTCCACTGTTGTGATACAGCACAAAGCCACTAACTGAATGATCAGTTTCAGGTGTAATATACTGTAGCTAATACTTTATATAGCTACTGTAGTTATATTCTAATCTAAACAGCCATTATTTAATCATTTTCAGAAGGTTTTTCGTTGAGTCTCACATGTAAAAAAAAAAAATTTATATATATATATATATATATATATATATATATATATATATATATATATATATATATGGTATATATATATATAAGTATATATATTATATATATATATATATATATATATATATATATATATATATATATATATATATATATATATATATATATATATATATATATATATATATATATATATATATATATATATATACTGTATATATATACATGTACTTTCTTTCTGATCTTAGTTATTAATATCCATTTATGATCACTATAATATGCAATGCTTTCTCTTGACAACAGAAAATTTAATTCTATTACAGATTTATAATTTCTTAATACAGATTGCACCAGACTCAAACACAAACATTTGGCACTAAAATACACTGCTGACTAAGAAAAGATATAAGGTAATACAACAAGGAAAATCTATTCAATTATGCCAAAATCATTTTAGGCCATATTTCACGTACAGTTAAGTGAACATACAACCTGTATGATCTCAACATCCTGAACTCAAACTTTCGTGTCATATAATCTTACAAACTCGTAGTGATACACTCACTCTTTTATTACTTCTAAGGTATGATCAAACAATATGCTTATCATTTAGGTGAGAGAAAAGATGAAAAATCCTAGCTTTAGTATCTAGCTTCATATGGCACACTTTGTCACAGTATTCAACTCAAATTTTTTGGTACAAAATCCATTAAAATTCCCCGCACTGACTTGGACAAATGTGTGATTTCTCCAGAGTACAACTCCATTCAGCAGCAGCAACCAAGCACACTACATAGGATGCATTTAATACAACATGAACATTTTGTATTTATATCTTATGATAAGGGTACTAAATAGTGTGGTAAATGATACAATACCACCTACCACAGTGCTTATATACAACCAGCCCATCTTACGACTGGCACCGGCACGATATGTTTCACTACCACTGAGGCACTCACTTGATTATGCTCTCTGTCACTTGTTTGTTGATTTAAATTCTATTTCAGATAATCTAATGTAACAGCAAGATCTAGTTTGCTGAAATATATCTCTAAAACACATTACTGTACCGATTTACATAACAGAAATGGCATACAGTACTGTATACATAAGTTGGCATACGGTCAAGAAATACTTTATTTTCTTTCACTAATGTATCTAGCAATTACAGTCAATAATTACTTTCTTTTTGTCAAATGTTTAAAGCACTTGTATGAAAACAATGTGATTATCAACTTCAAATCATGTTGAAATGGATAACAGCAGCGGTTCACTTAGAAAATATGTACATGCACCAACAGGTATCTTTTTGTATAATTTCCAACTCTAAACATGCCTCTACTGGCCCATCCCTAGGGTGAAAGTGTGGCACTGCTCCAGGCCTCACTGTGACCCAAAAACCACCTGCACCTCACACCATCCAACCAACAACACCTGCATTACTACAGGCCCCTTTTGTCCGTCCATTATTTTCCTGCAGACAAAACGAAATTTGCTGCTCCATAAAATAAAGTTGGGGGGGGAGGGGGGGGGGCAAGAGTAGTGCAAAACAAGTGTGGAAAGCAACAGAAAATGTTGAGACGTCCAGGATCTATATTTACTTGCTCATATCCACAACTTGCATACCAATACCATACACGGTATACAAAGTGATTATTTAGCCTCCACACTGATTCAAAGTAAAATACAGTACCTAAAAATGATCCACAGTTTATCTTCATTCTACCTTAATTATATGGAAGTCTTTTGTTTTAAATACACAACAACAATACTCAGCTATAAAAAAAAAAGGTACTACCTGTATATCATGATTTATTCATTCAAAGAAATTTTACCATTACATAAATTCTAAAAGCATAGGAGGTATAGTATGTTATAGGATGTATGTGCACATTTTGCTGAGTGAATATAAACTACCACTGTTACACATATTCCATAAGGCTAAATATTAGATTATCTTCTTATTTCATACCAGTTTACATGCAGCAACAGGATATGCAGGATATTAAAATAATGATAACAAATTCAATCTGTGAAGGTATAGTACTACACTTAAGTACACTATGTAAGTATACTGCACTACTCCAGAGAAAGTGATATGCACACAGTATCTCAATTCACCATATTCATCCTGTTGTTTTAAGATTATATTCCTTTACTTCTTTTTTCTCCCCCCTTCCTGCCTCTTTAATGGACACACCTATGCTTGGGTACTGAAGTGCTATTAATTTGTCTAGTTTCTATGCCTTTGTTGAACCTATACAATATAATGTACATGTTTGCATACTATTATTAATTTCTACAGTTTATGCCTCTGATGAATGCATAAACAATATTCTTGGAAAGTGATATCAATTCCCAATTTTTTATGCCCCTGGTGAGCATATCTATGCCTGAGTATTATTATGAACTTCCCTACCTAATGTTTTATGCCTCTAAAAAACAGATACATGCTTGGGTAGTATCTACAAGTCAGTCAGAGAGGAGGAACCAAGCTGGAAAGTGCAGTAATAGGAGTTATTCATACTGATGACTAATATCTTAGTATATACATTTATAGCAAGCATTCAGCAAAGCATGTCTACTTACGGTAACTTTAATTTTTCGTGTGAGAAAAATTCAGCATCAGACACACAATTTACATGTACATTAATTATCTAAAAATTCATCTTTTCATTCTGAATTACATACATTATATAGCTGCTTTCAGAATAATAAATACAATACAGAAGTAATTCCATTCATGTAATCTATGAACACTGCATTATGTATACATACAATCAACAATTTAATCACGTGTATTTTTGGAATTCCTAAATTCTCTAATCCCTAACAGAATTATGCTACCTCACTTATTCCTCAGTTTTAAGTGACTTAACCTTGTTGTTTCCTTGGCAGAGACAGACGCGCATATATGCTTCCTGTGTGAGGTGATAGTCCCTGTATGGTGCGTAAAGGCAGGATTCTAGCTGCTTCAAATTCTCTACCAGCAGGTTATCTGCTTTTTCCAGATTGAAAAGTTCCATTTCTTTACATGCTCCCTTGAAGGTCTGCTCAGTATTCTGAAAGAGACAAGAGTAACCAAGAATTGGTCATTAGCCTAACTCAGTGGTTCCCAACCTTTTGTAGGCTCTAGGCCACATTTATCATTGTAAATATAGTGGAGGGCACCAAAACTTTGAATCTACATTCAAGAAAAAAAATCATAGATACTGTACAGTTATTTACAGTTTTACTTGTTTACCTGTTATCAGTTACATACTTTTTACATTTACTGCTCGTTTGTCCTGAGTCTGTCGTGCACAGGACGTACTTACAGCATATATATACCTCTATATATACATACTGTATAGTATTTCCTTTTAGTGAGAAGGCCGGCTCTCTGGGCCCGGTCTGGGGTAAATACACACGTCCTGTACACGACACTCTGGGGAAAAACGTGCTGTTCCTCTCTCTCTCCCAAACTATAAAGTCATATCAAGTTATGACATACAGTCGACCCTCGTTAAAACGGACTAATAGGGGGGAAGGGTGTCCGTTTTAGCCGATTGTCCGAATTAACCGATTTAGGGGTTAATATTGCATTATACAGCTATGTGTATGTTTATTTGAGTGCCCCGTCATAGAAGTCCATTTTCTCTCACTTCAGCACTCCTGAGTCGTCCGTTTTCTCTTAATCTTAGAGTGCACCAGAGACTGTTATATCTTAGTAGTGACACAGAATTTGATATTGCAACTGGGGTTGCAATTGTTGAGGCAACTTAGGTATGTCTGATTACAGTTGGAATATTCAAGATCCATTGTGAGTGATGTTTAAAGCTTCAACTGTCTTTATGGTTGGTAAAACTTGTCAAGTCTGTCAGTCTGAATGGCATGTGTGAGGCCTTGTGTTTGTACAACCGCTAAATATATAAATATATAATGTTATGATAATTATCAGAAACACATAGGCATAACGAGGTTTATTACAAAGTGATGAAAAGGATACTGTACAGTGGGTAGTCCACAAAACATGTAGCCATGTCTCTTTATTTGAGTGCCCCGTCATAGGAGTCCGTTTTCTCTCACTTCAGGACGCCTGAGTCGTCCGTTTTCTCTTAATCTTAGAGTGTACCAGGGACTTTGTTATTTCTTAGTAGTGACACAGAATTTGAAATTGCAACCCCAATTGCAACTGGGACAATCCCAGAACCAGAAATTTGATATGGACTGTTCAGATTTCGTCCGATTTATCCGAAATCCGGATTAAAGGGGTCCGAATTAACGAGGGTCGACTGTATTTTCAAAAATTTCACTATTACAAATAATCCCAAATAATTCTTTTAATCTATAAATTATTATTTAAAAAATGTTGATACTGTACAGTATTAACATGATAAGACAATTCACGTATGGATTTACAGGTTACGAATTTAACAGCCTCGTCTTTAATTTTGATTGAATTAAAAAAATATATTATTAATGTTGAAATTTGGAATAAATCACAAAACTTTCCAAATTTTAATAAGCCTCTTAAAATTGACTTAAACTAAAACTATATCCATCATATGTTTCCACAAACAAATTTTAAGTTACTGAAACAAACTTTACTTTCATTTAATTCCCAACAAAACTCTTCAATCCCCACAGCCCTGCAGTCATCTGTGGCAACTTTGACACTGATGGTTCATGACTACATGATAATATATAGCCATGTGTTGCTCACTACACACCTTCAGTTTCCAGTAGTACAGTATTTCTTCATATTCCTGATTCACTGTGTGTGTAATCGTGTACTCTAATGGATAATACACCATCTTTATATTCATACACACATACAGTAATTGAAAAATCAGAGTTTCCTGTAACTGCACTGTTGATTCAGAGTATAGATTTTAAATTTAATTTCTTATATCCAGCTCAAAAACATGACTCAACCCAGTTGCCATGGAAGTCAAATACTGTACAGTACTGTAGTTATATGTCAGATCACCTATATGACAATTTTATTAGTCTCTGTCAAAAGGAGTATGGCAGATATTATCAAATTAAATTACAGTATACAGTACATGTACTGTAATTATCTAAGGACTGGAAACATCTTGGAATAAACTCTATCATGCAATAATTCAAAATGGCATTGCTGAAAAAATGTGTATTGCACCAATTTTTACACCCAAAATCAATCAATCAAAACTACTGAAAACTGCTCAAGGCTGCTTTGTTTTCAGGATGGATGTCCTCATCCATCAAAAAATTTAAGAGATTATATCAAAAGTGTTACACAACACATATTATACAAGTTTTAATGTTATTTTGAGAAAACTTGTACACATTTATGAGGTTCATGATAAAATCTTGCCTGAAACTCATTCAAATTTATAAGTTGAACACTGTTAAAACATACCTGTAGGTTTTTCAGCGAAGATAAAATGTTAGTTTGGTCACCACACCTCTCACACTTGAAGAATGGAATCAAGAGGTTTTCAGTGTTGACTGGAAGGGGGCCTTGGCATTTGTGACACTTGAATGTTAACACTGAATTGGTCATATCCTTGTACATTGGCCAGTCCTTCTGACATGCCTGTGGGGGTTGAAAATCACAAGTAATATACAGTAAACCCTCGAAGATCCGGACTAGGGAAATCCGGATTTTGGAAGATACGGACAAAACATTTGGGGGTTATGGACTAAGAAGCCTCCTAGAAGTTTCCCTGAGAAACATCCCAAACCAGAGCAAAAAATTTTTTAGGCCCGTGCGCACTGCTTGCCCCATCAGTTGCTTGGGCACAGGTGCCCCAGGAGGTGGGAAACATAAACAGAGTTGACAATTGTTGTTTGTGGGAATATTTCATTCACTCCAGTATTAATACAATGTTTCTTATTATGTTATCATAGGTAAATGCATGGTTTATACATGGTAAATTGCTTATCAATACAATAGTACTGTATTTTTGGTGTTTCTTATATCATCTATTAATTGCCAGAAAATCCAGACAATCGGCTTTTCTGGACAGGTGGTCCACCCCTTTCAGTCCAGATCTTCGAAGGGTTCACTGTACTGTACAGTACATATATTTTTTTTAATTAATAAAAATATATAGTGACAAAAGAAAACCAGACAGGAGGGGTGCTCCCATATTATTTAGGTTCATTTGGGTTGATATAACATTCTTGTAAAATAATCAACTTTCATGAAAAAATCCCACCCCATAGAAATCACTGCCGTAATAAATTCCTGATCTCTTGTTTACAAAGCACGAAAAGCTGATTATCGTAGTTCCTTCACCATGTTAACAGCACTCTCCATCTCTCATGCTAAACACAACAACTGTCTTAAGCACTTAGTCAATAATACCATAGAGTATTTATCAGCACATAATAAATAATATTGTAATTTAGTATACAGTCAACCCTCGCTTTACGCGGTCCCACATTCCGCGTTTACGCGGTACCCTGCCGAAACCGGAATGCTCACATTCCGCGATGCGTGTACCCCTTTACGCGGAGAGCGGCGCGAGCAGGGTGCGCACAAGGTCGCCCAGTCATCAAAACATTACCGAGTTCTTCACCCGCCACCCACCACAGCCGGCCCAAGTCAGTGATAGTGAGGATATGGACTTATATGGACTTTGAGGGGTTTGACACAGAGGCCCTGCAAGCCTCTGTGGTGGATAGTGATACAATTGATACAAGTGATACAGGTGAGGGCCAATAATCTGCCCTCTGCCTCGGAACCAACCCCCCATCCCCGTGTGCCCAGCCATCTTTTCTACTAATGTAAGTGTTAAAAAACCTAATATTATTGAATTTCTCTTAATTATTAATTGTGTGTGCATACCATCATAAAATTAAGAAGTTATTTTTACTACAATGTAGGTATTGTGTCTGAAAAAGTGGAGTTTGGGGGTAAGCCCGGTCTCTATTTCAATTAATCCCGAATGTTATGTTGTTCACTTTACGCGGGCCGCCGTGGGTTGAATTATCCGCGTAAAGTGAGGGTTCACTGTACAGTATTATGCATCTGCATATTCCCTGGTTTATTCATTAATCAGTTGTCTGAGTGCACAAGTAGCCAAATCGAGCCATTACATGCCACTCAAAGGTAATAAATAATGTTGTTAGGAATTTATTTCCATGTCAAATACTATGCAGTATGTTATAATGATCCTGTTGTAAACTGAGTGAATATCTTCTGATACAGTTTATCCTTCTATTTTCAAGTCAAATTACAAATTGTATATTGTATTTTTGCTATTATTGAAGATGTTATATTAATTATGATGAATCATTCATTAAAAGAGGCTGATCATATGAGAATATAATGTTGAATCAATAGTATAGTCTCGATTTACGCGGATTTGGTTTACGCGTTTGGTCATTTACGGGGCACCTTGCCAGACAGACAATTTTTATTTACACGGTTCATTCCATCATTTACGTGGGAAGCAGCGCGGGCAGGGTGCGCACAAGGTCGCCCAGTCAACAAAACATTACCGAGTTCTTCACCCGCCACCCACCACAGCCGGCCCAAGTCAGTGATAGAGATAGTGAGGATATGGACTTTGACGGGTTTGACAAAGAGGCCCTGCAAGCCTCTGTGGTGGATAGTGATACAATTATTACAGGTGAGGGTCAATAATCTTCCCTCTGCCTCGGAACCAACCCCCCATACCAGCCATCTTTTCTACTAACGTAAGTGTTAAAAAACCTAATATTATTGATATTTCTCTTAAATATTAATTGTGTGAATACCATCATAAAATTAAGATGATATTTTTACTACAACGTACGTACTATTGTGTCGGAAAAAGTGTAGTTCGGGGGTCGGCCCAGTCTCTATTTTAATTATAATCCCATATGTTCTGTTATTTCGTTTATGCGTTTCACGTTTTACACGGACCTCCACCGGTTCAATTGACCACGTAAATGAAAACTATACTGTACATGTATAAACCTGGCAAATGCAGCAACACTCAGCCTGTCAACGTATAAAGTGTCTTACCTCTTATACTTAGTAGATCTAGTTAGACCTACAGAATATCTGATAACGTACAGTATTTCTTAAAACAGGTATTCTACATAATTTTACCCATTTCTTAAAACCCTCAAGTATCCCCATTAAATACAAAATTACTCTACATAAAAAGTTCATGTAAATGAGTGTAGGTAGCAAGGTTCAGTGCATTGAAGGCAGGACTCGACTGAGACATGTGCAGTGTGCCATGCAACACCCACAAACAGATGTTCAACCGCACATACAAACACACAAACTGTCTGAACTGATGCTGAATTTTCCACTTTTAAAAATATTTCTGGTAAATAGAGCAGCGGTCCAGAGTACCTCAGAGATTAAAAAAAGGTGATTTCCGGTGTAATGAAGTCCCATGTATAGAGGTGCGACTGTCATTTTAAAATGAGCTTCAATTACTGTACCGGGCATTGTGTTCAACTTTTAAATTTGTTCTTGACTTGTAACAGATAACTAACGGCACAGTGCCAACGGACAACCGGGTTACAAAAGTGCACTGACAAACTTGTTGAAAATATAATTAAATGTGATTCACATTCTATTACTGTACTCCCTATGGTTCCACTAAATGGTCTATCCTGTAGAAGAGGATCATCACTGTAAATTACATAAACATGCAGAAAATTAAATACGTACTTCTTTTCTTATTATCAACTGTAAAGGAGATTCATAGGAAATACTGTACATTACTGTATATCCACACAGCACACACACCCGCTTGCCCAACCACCCATGACTGCGCCCCCACCCAACCCCCCACACATAACAGTTTGCTATAATTCCCTCTTCCAATTCTTTGAATTGATAAAATACATAAAAATATGACTGTTGATACAGGTGATGGTTAACTCAACAAGTAAACACAAAGGAGTAAGAAAGATGAGGAAAATAAGCAGGAAAAATAAATGGGAATAAGAGATACTGTACAGATATACAGTGAAGGATCTACAATTGTGAACCAAACCAGGTGGAGGATTGCAAGATGATAGTGTTAATTGACAGTTATTCTTGGGTAATACTGTACTGTACCCTTACAACAGACCAAGATCATTATGTGACTTCTTTATTACATACTGTACAATGTTTCTCTTCAACACCTTTAGAATATGTATCGAGTCCCTTAAACCAAACTAAACTTTTATAAATCAAATGTATTACAAAACATTACAATCATTCTCCCTTTCTCACTAATTTCTTAACCCCAAAACAACAGCCACCATAAGTGCAAGTTAGCTGTAGAGACGGTGGCCATCAACAGTGGACATATTATGTTATTTGTGTTCCATTTTTTATGCATATGGGGGCAGAGCTTACAATTTAAGTTCTTTGCATTCTGTAACATCATTTATTTTTAATTCAGACGAAACCCCTATGTTTTCCTTTACTGTATCTTAATTTTTTACTTGTTTCCAACAACTCTAACTTACCTCACAATTGCATTCAAACCAATATCTATCTGCCAACTCCGCTTTCCGCTCGCTTTTGATTTTGGATGTGAAACTCTGGCCGTAATTTTCTGGGATAAGATCACCCTTACGGATCTGTCTGATTGTCTTTGTGATAACCTGGTTGCCACTGAAGAGTCTGGAAATTCAGTATTTGTTAAGAGCAGGGTAAAAAGTTTTGAGGCTTTTATCATAAGAATATAGTTATCTATAGTAATGGATTATCAATGAAGACATAATTACATACAGACCATTTTTTCAACGGAACTTACTGGGTGTGCTCTTAAATATTCATCCAACACAAATACAAACAAAACTGGTAACCCAGACAAACTTGGAAAATGGCTGTAAAATGGTGAGAATGATAATAACACATATGTATATACATATACACATTTTTTCTTTCTCTCTCCTATTTATGTGGTAAAAAATAGTATCCTTTATACAAACCAATACTTACCTGACTTGTGCACTGTGGCAGGAGTGGTTGAAGAGGGCAAGAGTTGGATAAATGGCTGCACCCAGAGATTCATTCTTGGATCCATCAAAACACTTTGGTGCAGCTAATACAAACTCAGAGACCTCGTGGGCATTGAACTGCACTATCTGAAAGAGTACAAAGTCATACTGAGATCAAAGTCTTTCAAAGATCATCTAAAAGGATGTGGTATCATCCTTGTGTTTCAGTGTTCCCTGGAATTTTTTCCTGCTGATGCAGAGTGCTAGATAAGTACAGAAATGATCCCCTGATTCATATCTTTCATTAACTAGTGGGTTACCCCCATCCACAAGGCAGAAAGCTAATCCAAAAAATAAAGAGTTGTACCACCATCTACAGCTACACTCAACAGTGTACTGTACTTCTTTTTCTGTCAAGTGGGTAGGGACCTGTGGTAAAAGTGGAAATTGGGCACGTGCTGTCTGTAAGAAAAAATGTTGGCAACAACTCAAAAATGTGCAATGAGTGTGGAAGGTGGGCACATAAGAAGTGCAGGAGAGTAGATGGTGGACCGTAGGATGCTGCTGACATTAGGGGTGTGTCCCAGGACTGTGTTGATAGGTTCTTTTACCCAGGTGACATGATCAGTGCCAGTGGTGGCTGGAGGTAGTTTAGGAGGTGCTGCCTTCATTGTTGGCAAGAGGACCTTCCTTTTGCAACTGATGTGAGAAATGTGATGTTGTATGACAGTGAAACATGGGCAGCTGAAGTAGATGCCATAAATAAAATTGAGCAAGCTGAAACTAGAATGGCAAAGTGGATGTGAAATGTGACACTGAAAGACAGGAGGCCATGTTCAAAGCTAAGAGGGCAGCTTGGTATTGAGAGTAGTGTACAATGATCATTCAGCTATTCACCAAGAAGTACCATTTTGAGTACAGTACTGTACTGTATACAATTCATACTGGAAAGTACCATACTGGAAGTGTAGAGTAAGAGAAAGAGAGATTTCTGAGTTACTTTTAGCTGCTCTACTGACCTGAAGGAACCTCAGCAGAAGGCTTCCCACAAAGGCTTCTGTATCAGTGATCTTATCACCTAAGGGAAAGACAATGCACATTATCAACAAACCAAAAATATCCTTTTTATATTATTTTATCATTTCAAATCTACCTATAAATTCAATCTAGTATTACAGGTCTAATGACATTTGAAAAAATAAGACAATTATAAGACACCAATTATAACACATTTTATATACAAGTTAATTTTGAAAAGTGCATTTATAAGAACTATGATAATTACAGATATTAGTTTAGTACAGTACATTCACTTATTTGTACATTATAAAGCATTTTACAGAAGCAATTATATTCAAGAATTAAAAAAAAAGTGACATCATCATAAGACCCCCAGGATGTGTAAATATTGGAGAACACGTACAGTACCTAGGAGACATAGTCAAGAATTTCACACATGACATATCCTTAAGAATTAAAAAAAAAAAAAAATCACTAAAATATCTACAGTACAGTAACTTGGTTGTGACGTTACTGAGTAGACATAAATTTGTTCCCCAGCAGCATCTGACTTTGAGCCAGTACTCATGACTTTTATACCCAACACATCCTTAGGAGATGATATAAAAGCAGAGGAAATTTTGTTGCAATATGTTAATTGGTTGTGAAGTTATAGAGCAGACACGTTAATGTTCAGTCCCAGTGTTGGATTTGAAATTTGATCTAGACCTTGAGCATGCAGTCATGACTTCTGCTTGTGGCATAACCTTAGGCAATATTATAACAGCATAGCAAGTTTCAAGGAAATAAGATAACCAGTTATAGAGAGAACACAAAATTGTTGATGGACTGACAGACAAGATAATGCCTTCAGGATACCCTTATCTTTGACACAAGGCCCAAATTTGTATGTATGTAATCCCTCTGAGTATTCCACAGGAGAAATACAGTAAGGAGACACCTAAAGATTTACTACCAGATACTGCCAATGTAGAAATACTGTGCTGGTGCATATGTCATATAGGCAAGTTTGAGCACCCTACCTAGTATTTACAATTTACGTAAAGCCATCTACAAGATTCAGTGCAGGGTAGAGCTGATAAGAAAGAAGAATTAAACCAGTGCATGTAGCATAATAAGCTAAAAAGGGTTACCAACCTTTATCCTTAAACAGGGGATATGCTGTTTCAAGAGGACAAAATATAATTTAGTTATCATTCTTTAGATATTGTAGTCTGTTGAAATAAAAAACTGGCTACCTACAGGAATGAGACACAACAAGAAATATAAGTTTAACCTTACTTAAGTGTGATAGAATTTTCTCATAAAAGGTACGGTGAAACCTTACTAATATGAATTAGGTAGTCCCCAATCATAATGATCTGGTTTAGAAAAATTCTGTGCTTACAAAAGTTTTTGTCCCAGGTTCCAATTTACGTAAGAAAAATCAGAAGTTGAGAACTTTGGTTGTTCATTTTGTTATTTTTTTGCAGCATCAGAAGATGCTGAGGCATTGACACAGGCATCTCAGGGTTTACCATACAGGACATGGTCAGCTCTTAAAATCAATTAAACTAAAACCACCATACAGTACAGTAGTACCCCGATTTACGCGGTCAATTGAACCCATGGGGTACAGCGGAAAGTGAAAACCGCGTAAAGTGAACAACAGAACATATGGGAGTAATTCCAATAGAGACCGGGCCGACCCCCAAACTCCACTTTTTCAGACACAATACCTACGTTGTAGTAAAAATTACATCTTAATTTTATGATAGTATGCACACACAATTAATAATTAAGAGAAATATCAATAATTTTAGGTTTTTTAACACTTACATTAGTAGAAAAGATGGCTGGGCACACTGGATGGGGGGTTGGTTCAGAGGCAGAGGGCAGATTATTGGCCCTCACCTGTATCACTTGTATCAATTGTATCACTATCCACCACATAGGCTTGCAGGGCCTCTTTGTCAAACACCTCAAAGTCCATATAAGTCCATATTCTCACTATCACTGACTTGGGCCGGCTGTGGTGGGTGGCAGGTGAAGAACTCGGTAATGTTTTGATGACTGGGCGACCTTGTGCGCATCCTGCCCACGCCGCTTCCCTAGTATATGAGTAGATGCACCGCGTAAAGTGAAAGTCCGGTTCTGGCGAGGTACCGCGTAAATGTGAAATCGCGGAAAGTGAAACCGCATAAAGCGGGGTATTACTGTATTGTACTGAATTGTTTTCAGAGTGTTTAACTAAGCTAAAAATAAAATACATGTAGTGATTTAGTTATCATGGCTCACAAGATTGCTACGTGAAGCAGTGGCAAGGGGCGACTCAAGATATATCCACTCTGGGAACACTGATGTGTTTAGTATCTCAGAGTCTGATGTGATGTCAATGGAAATAATTAATTTTTAGACAGATAAGTTGAGCACTTCTTCTTCAGATAAAATTTCATCGAAAATCAAATGGAGTGAAAATAAAACATATCAAAATGTACATATATATGTACAGTGGACTAGACTTATTGTTGGTATGTCTTGGCTAGACCTCGCAGTCTCACAGTACATCACAACTAGAGGCGCAGTTTCTCCCTAAGTTTAAAGCTCTACAATTTCTTGTAAGCATAAGATAACTACTGTGCTGTGTGAACATAATTTTTTTTATTATTGGCTAATAATCATTATGTACACCAAAAATTTTCAGTAAAGACATGTTTTGTAGCATTTTAAGACATTTTAGGGAAGGCTTTTTTCTTGTATAAAGTACTGCATACGGTACTTTATGTATCACAGCTTTTATAATGGGAGTCTGTGGGAAAATGGGATCCATTTTACTGAAAACCAATACTATATGAAAAGTTTTTCAGGAATGGATCCCTTTCATAAATCAGGGACTGCATGTATTAATGATTCATATACCTGTACAATCAATGTGGAAATTTCCGATTTATTGACCAGCAGGCAAAGTACTTTGCAGAATGTTCAAAAGAGAGCAGATTTGATCAGTTATCTGCTGGTCAGTTTTGGTACTGTACACAGTACACTGTACCAGCCTTGTTCCATATCTTACAATGAATGAATGTATATCAGACATCTTTCTTCTTGTATTTATATACCCTGTACTGTACAGTACTTTACCTCTCTCATCCAACAGGTGCCTTGAAGTACTTTATCCAACAGGTGCCTTGAAAGTACTTCATCCAAAAGGTGCCTTGAAAGTACTTCAACTCGCAGACAAAAGAGTAAGTGCAAGACCCTCATCATTTAGGACAAGTTTGTGATTCTTTTGCAAGTACATAATACTGTTAAACATGTAGTGAAGCACTGTACAGTGATCCCTTAAACAACCTCAAGCTTTCATAAATAAAAGAGGTTGGAATAGTTTGATGGATTGGTGAGTTTATAAACTCTTGTCAAACCCCAACATCAACTTGCTATATAGTTATTCAAAAGTTTTACAATAATGGTGAAAGACACCTGCCCAGATGTGTTCAGGTTCATTTACTACATTTTATTAAAAAACAAACAAACTATACACTACTTCTTATTACAGAAACAGGTTGGGGATACAAGAAAATGCTGTACAAAGCTGTACTTGTTTAGAATCACTTTATAGAGTACTGTATATTATAAAGTGCACAGCATTAAGTGTTCTTTACGAATGGGAGCTTGTTGCCTGTGAGATTACACCATCAAACCATTTGTGAAAGATAAAAGAACCAAACGAACCTTGATTAGTTGGTTAGGGGTTATCTGCCTCTCTCCATGATTTTTGTAATTCAGTCAACTAATTTGGTCAGTTTGTTCTCATGATGTTTTACAAAAAGTTACATAGATTTCTTCCAAGGTGTGTTCTTACAGTCACATTCACCCAGAGGCCGCAAGGAATAGATTAAGATAGTTACAGTGAAGCATTTTGGGGCTGCACAGAATTGAGGTGTCCAGTCATATGCTGGTGTCACACCTGCAAGCCTACAGGTCCTCTATTCTCTATGAGGAAAACCTTTGCTTGATTGTTTTAATTTTCTAAGACCCTGCTTGTAATGAGAGGCACACTGATTCATGATTAGTCATAAGCACATTACTCACATCACTAAGCTATGGATCCAATCATAAAGAAAGAGTTTCAGGATCAATTCTTTCCTGGATTCAACAACAATCACTTTCATTATTTACATATACTGTAGTCTGATTGAACAGTGCTGGAAGTTGCCTTAGGATCAAAAATGGTGATCAGAACCTCTGCATTGTACATGTGGGTACTATAATCAATATATCACTATATAAATAAGTCTGAGTGGATGGATTATGAAAGTGTGATAAGTACAGTACAGTACAGTACAGTGCAGTGCAGTGCAGTGCAGTGCAGTGCAGTACAGTACAGTGCAGTACACAGGTGGTTAGAGTGGCAATTTTCACTGTACTGTTTCTTGATCTTTCTATTGTTCACCTATGGCATTTTTGTTCATGTACAGGTATGTTACAGTTGCTTGAATTTTCAATTCTATACTAAGAAAATTTTACATATGATTACTACATTACTTCTTGTTTTACAATACTATATACTGCATTACTGATTCTCAACCTAGGGATACAGTTCTATACTGTATTAGGTCTACATATGTAAATGAATTATGCAAGTACTGTAATATAATAAAACAAAGACTTTTAACGTCCAAATTTGTAAAATACTTTGACAAATGATTACAAAAGAATGTATACTGTACAGCATTTCATCACCCTTACATGGTTTGGGGCGTACATTGACGTCTGCTACTGTAAGGAACACCCACGTTTAGGGTGATTATCTATGTCCTTGAAAATTAAAAAAATTCTGCTAATTTCTATAGGCCCTAGAACAATACATAAGCATGTTGAAGAGTCTGGCATCCATCCCCGTATGTATTAACCACTCCAGACAGAAATATGTCTACCTCCCCCTCACACAGGGTGAGCCTGCTAATGCTGCACCTTCCCTGAACTCTTCCTTGGCAACCCCCAGGTCTCTTTCCAGATCCACCACACCGCTGCCTGCCTCTTACCACACACGTCAACCATGCCACCCCACAGGACTTCTACAAAGATGTGCCTTTGCTCACCGCAGACAAGGACGAGGCCATGGTCACCATACTGCTGCCACAGTGCCTGATGAAGACTGGCAGTGGATTAATGGTGATACTTTTGTGCCTTCTCTCCATGCCTTTGACAACATCAGGAGTGCATCAGGAGTGCAGACTGACTTAATGAAGAATGACAGCAGGGAAGTAAGTTTTTTCCAGCTTTTCTTTACTCTCGACCTTGTTCAGTACCTAGTGGACCAGACTATCACATAAAATGTCTTTTTGTTGGTTGGCATGGTGCTGTTGCCCCACTCTTGTTAACTCCAGCGAACATCATTGGACGTTTGTGAAATGTACTCATTCCTAGCTCTGGCAATGTTGATGGGTTATTGAAAAGAACAGTTAGAGGGAGTGTAACTTATCCCATTTATGCTACCATCTTCAACCAGGTAATGTCAGTGAACCAATTTACGAACATTCTACAATCCTTACATTCTTTGACAACAAAGAAGGATTTCTTACATAGAATGCTGACAAAATGAAGAGGTCCATGATGTGTTTGATTACTTGAGGGTCAAGTTCAAGGAGACCTTTTACTCCTTCCAAAAGACCTGCATTGAAAAGAGTTCAATGCTGTGGTGAGACAACTTATCCTTCAGGCAGTATATACCCTCAAAACGGGATCATATTGGTCCTGTGCAACTGGATATATTCAGGATATATTACTGTAACCAGTTCGATGGGAGTGGATAAGACAGGACCCCTTGGATTGTCTGGGAAGGTAGTACAGATGCTATTTGAGCGACACCCGGATAGGGGTCACATTCCTTATTTGGATAATTGGTATTCCAGCTCTAGGCTCTTTGAGTACCTGCACCAGCACATGACAGGTGCGTGTGGCACTGTCAGGACACTTCCCTTCAATAACTCAATCCACGGAGGAAAAGCAATCTTCCCAGAAAGAATGTCAAGTACAGTATGCTGTACAAGTGAAATCCATGCCAGAGCATGCAGAAGCACTTGCTACCAGTGTGCTCACTACGAGGTTGCTCTGTGCCTGCTTCCAACAACACCACACCCTTCAAAAGTACTAGAGCACAGGAAAGACATTATAAATAGTGTAAATAGATATATTTGTTTATTATTTCTGGGTGTAGTGGTGGGATTGTGACAGCACATATGTGGTAAAAATTGTACTGTACTATACTGTACTGTATAAATTTGTTTCTTACCCAATAGCATATGTCAAGTGCCTACTCCTAAAAAGTGCCTCATTGAATAATATATACATGTTTGAGTACAATAAATATTAAAACAAAGTGTAGAATTATGTAAATTTATGTTTTTTATGTAAGTGATGTCTGAAACTCACCGCAGCATGTTAGCTGTGCAGCACGAGGCGTCACTGACCTCCACGTGCCTTTTAGAATTGCCACATGTAAGTAAACAAAAAAAAATAAAATTTATGTGTCAATTCCATTTTTTATTCACCTCCCTAAACAATATTATATAATCACGAGTCTAGTATAAAAAGAGTGAAAAAACTAAATTAAGTGGTGTTAAATAAATGCCGAGTGTGATATGTCATCCGGCCGAATAGGAGATTGTGACAACGTTAGATTTCCAAGGCCGAGGCCAATTCCCATGTAAACGGAGACGCTATACAACAATATGTACGATTCAGCCAACCTGAGAGTTGAGTTGCCACTTTCTAACCATTTCATATTATTTTAGACATCATTATCTAGCTTTTCCATAAAAAAAAAAAAAATTAACATTTTGTTAACCAGATGGGGTATCTAGGTTTATTATATGGAAACCAAGTATTGTAGGAGTTAAACTGAATTAGCAAGGTTTCACTGTAATTTGAAGAAGAAAAAAACTTAAATTCTTATACTTTACAAATGTAATTGAATGAAATATCAATTACAGTATTAGTATAGAAAATACAGAAGTTACTGAGACTTGTTAAGAACAGAATCTGAAAGGCCATGACACACAGACCACTGCAAAGTTCAAGTACACGCTTAAAGAAATATATATGAAAGATGGTCATTTGTGTGAAACAATTTTAAATTACAGGTACCGGTATACAGTACTACACAAATAATGGTAAAAAAAAAAGGTACTTCAGGAGTATAAATAGATACCATATTGTTTTGAACTTAGTACCAATATTTAATAAGAAACTAGTATGTAATATTTACAAATTTCTACTCTGCAGCAACTACCCAGTACATACCATTATCTAATTATAAGCAACTAAGAGTCTTACACCGGGTGTTTTAATCACCCTCTTCCATTGACGGGGGTTGTGATGTTTACAACGTTTTAAAAAATATGAGTCACGAAGGCTACCACACTACAGTGCTTGACAGGGAGGTGTGGCGGTAAAATTAACTTACTGTATTGGAATTAGTTTATTTTACCCCCACACCTCCCGTCAAGCACTGTACTGCAGTGTCCTTTGTGACTCATATTTGTTAAAACTCTGGTTGTAAACATGATAACCCTCGTCAACAAAGAGGGTGAATAAAACTCAAGGCATCAGTATCATAATAAATTTGAGAAGAAAAAATGGAGGATCAAGTCACAAAGAGATAAACACAAAGAAAAAGATAATGAAAAATGGACTGTTTGCTGGTGTGACCAAGACTGTTAAAAGAAAAACTTGGGATAGGCCCGTAGAGGTGAAAACAGACAGCCAAACTGGAACCAAGTTTACTCCCCCCCAAAAAATACTGTTGAGATATTTGGAAATAAAAATTCTCTTTCTTTTTGGGGAGGTGAGATCACTTGTCCTGCCCCTGGTTCTGATACCTATGGGTATAAAGTCAGAAAAAAGTGAAATATTTAGAATTCAGGAGGATACATAACACCAGAAGTGAAACAGCTAGCAATGAAAAGATAAGAGAGTGCAGTACAGTACTGTTTTGATGAAAGGGAACTATGACCACAGACCAGCGATATAGACGAGATTGAGAACACGTAGGAGACCAATCATAATTTCACTCTTTATGGGTTACCTGAAGATTAGCCCCACAAGTGCTTACATGAAGAGTTACACCCTCCCCCCACCCAGCTTAACCAGCCTGAAGCTTTACCACCCCAAAACTATCAGGGAAAAGGGGTAGGGCTAATCTTCACATAATCCATAAAGTCTAAAATTATAATTGGTCTCCTTTGTGTTCTCAGTCTTGATCTGGACTACATCACTGGTCCAGATACCAAGAAATGAGTCCCAATATGAAAGGGGAGTCGTTATATGAAAGGGGAGTGAGTACTGGGAAGAGTCTAAGGATGTGTCTGAAGTTGAGTGAATAGACAGTGCGGATATAAATAGATAAATGTATAGAAAGAGAGAGACTTGAATATGCTGAGTGGAGGGGCATCTACATGGAACACACTCAGCTGCAAACCCAAAAATGATATACAGTACAGTACTAGGACTAAAAAAGATGACACACAAAAATACATTTCACATAAGTTTTGTTCAAATTAACATGCACTGAAACTATGGAAGAGAATTTTTGCTGTACATCCATGAAGTTCATAAAGAACTGTTTGTGGCTACACATACAAGAAAATTGGGATAGTTGATTTTGTTACTGTAGCCTCACATTTCTTAAGTAGTCAACTCAAAGTATAAAACTTAATACAGTGATATCCCCGTTAGCCGGAACAATTGGTGCAGAGCACTTCCGGGGATGAAAGATTTCAAGGTAACGAGACGAATTTCTCAAAGCCGGAAAAAATCCCTCATCGCCGTAATTTTCCGGGTAACGGAAAAATTTTCTCAGAAATTCCAGAAACTGCCCATTACATATCATCTCTCGAACCCGGAAAAATATCCCTCTTCCCCGGACTTTTCCGGGTAACGGAAAATTTTTCTCAGAATTTTCAGAAAATGCACCTGATATTCATCTCTCAAACCCGGAAAATAACTCCCCCATCCCAGGAATTTTCCAGGTATCGGAAAAATTTTCTTGGAATTTTCCGGAAAATGTGCCCGTCGGAAAATCATTCCCAAAGCTTGAATTTTCTGGAAAATTCCAGCTTTTGGAACGATTTTCCGAGAAAATTTCAATTCCTGCTAATGGAGATATTACTATAATTCCTGTTTCAACTCAGTAGACTTGGGGGAATAATACTTGAGTTACTTAGTCCAGACTCAGTCATAAAATGAGTAAATTCAATCCTCTATTTCATGTCTCATAATGAGCTTAGAGAGATTTATTATGCCTCAAGTATCACCCAGTGGGAATTATTCAGTGGTTTTTCTCCATTAACTTTAACTTAAAATGAAAAAAAGAAAAAGATAATTATAGCCCTTTTCCTCAACCTGGTCTGGTTACCTCACACATGTCAATATTTCTATACTTAAGATAAAAGATATAATTTGAGGTTAGGAAGGAACTGAACGGTAAACTTGGTTATCTTTCCTCAACGATATAACTGCTGTGCTTGAATACAGTACTCGGGTTTTAATACAGTAATATCTTCTTGTCTAAATCCTGTGGAGTTAGGACCCTGCTTCTTTATGAAGGGGTATACTGTACAGTATAGCAAAAGAAACCAAAATAAATAAATATTTTTCTAATCTCTAATTGAAAACTTTAAATTATAAAAGTGAATATTATGATGAATAATAGAACTAAACAACTCCTAAGCAAGACATTCAATTTTATACTTACTTGATGCTGACCCTTTAGTTTCAAAATACTTTGTTTTCTTCAGTGCTTTCACCATAAACACAATCATGATGCAACGGTGGAAGAAGTCTTCAGGTGTGCGAGACTGACTATGACATACTAGATGGTACAGACGAAGGAAGTCAGATGGATCATACACCTGCTTGTTGTTGGTTGTATCCTGTAGAGTATTCAAAATGTCATAAAGTACCCCATGAAGTTTCACTGGCAAAGGACACCAAATACTTTGAGTCTCTTAAACTGTCAAGTACGGTACACTCTTAACACTACGTACTGTATATTCTCTTTCTAATTAAGAAAATATCTTGCATTTGGGGTGCAAAAAATTATATTTGCTCAAAATTTCAGTATGTACAATATAGGTTTTCCTCGACACACTGATAAGGATCAGTGGTCGAAATATTGAAAATTGCTCAAAATCTCAGTGTAGGTCGTCCATGACACGCTGATTAAGGATCTGTGGTCGAAATATTGATTATTAATTGTCTTAATAGTACCCTAGATTATGAAGTTTTGAAAATTAATTATGCAAATGAATATGAGGACACTTTATAATCAGAATTAATTATAAAAATTTCAACGACAAATCCTTAATCAGCATGTCAAGGACGGCCTATATTGTACTGACATTATGAGCGAAATAAAATTTTCAACCTCAAAAATAGGTCAAAAACACCTTTTCTCTCAGAAATTAAATTTAATATGTCTAACTACTTAGTACAGCCAGAATAACATATAAACACCAAAAAGTGACCCAGAAAAACCATATGCAGCGAGTAATTAGAAAAGTAATAAATTTGTTTATACTGTAAATCATTTGGACATTAATTATACATATATGAAATTGCAGACAACAGATCCTTAAAAATGTACATCTCTAGTATACATTTCTGTGTCAAACGTGGTCTATGATGTTTACCTAACACTTTCGCTGCATTTCACGCAATTGCAATTTTATTCTGGCTACCGCCAGACAATTTTATTCAGCTTAGGGTAACTTCCCTCTGCAAAAGGGTTGAAGATCATATTAGTGATAAACTTTATAAGCCAAACCAAATAAGGGGTCTCTTCTGGAGATCATTTAACTACCGTACTTATATTCAGGATGCCTCAGCTGGTTGTACTGTACAAGACCCTGCAGTATCTTCTTCACTGACAATAACACAAACACCCCCACGATAAAACTGCAAATTTCACTAAAACAAAAAACAACATGACAATAACTTAAAATGTACCAAGTAAAATCTCTCACTAATATAATTATGTACAGTAATGTACCTGTATATCAACTATGTATTACTTACCTTGGGATCCTCCTCGGTAAGTTGGTCTTTAAAGTCCAGGAAGAAAGATAAGGGATATTGAGTGACGAGTCTGAATGCCAAGAAACAATTGATGGACATTCCAGATCCCGTAAGAAGGTCGAGGATGGGACACTCGATGCTGTGGAAGGATGACTCTTGGCGACATTCCACAGAACAGAACAATACACTCGAACATTTCTTGCATGGAATTGGAGCTTTAGTTCTGGAAATAAAATATATGCATATGATACTGAAATAATAAAATGATATTACAGTATAGAGCTTTCTGTTCTCAGGTTATGCTACCGACACAACCTGCACTGACCGTCCCACTTACATGACCCTAGCTGTCTATAACATTTTCCATTACTGTATATGAAAACACACACACAAAAAACATAAAATGTACCAACTAACACTTACACTTTGAAGCACTTCTGACAGTGATTTCCATATTCTTCACGCAGGAGCACAGAAGCGAAGGGTTTCTCTGTGGCGATGACATCCCCGACCTCAATGTCTTCAGCAGCCACAGCATAACGACCTTGGTTGTTGTCATACTTAACGTCAACTTTCTTGGAAAGTGAAGGGAATCGCTCGTTGCTTCCACCAGTTAGGTTTGGAATGAGTGGAGCTGGTTCAATATATCCTTCAGGTACATCTGTAGGGGAATACTTACTACAGTATTTATATTTCCTGAAGGAAATCTGTGAAGTATTCTTATTTTTAATGCTCTACCTTCCTATATATAAATCAATACAGGGTTCCGTGGTTGACCTTTTCCATATAACTATTACTGTAAATAACATTTGATTTATCTTTATAAATGCTGTAATCAACCCAACTGTTCACTAATGTAGAAGAATGCAATTTAAGTCATATCTATATTTTTGTCAGGTGATTAATCCTCTCAATTCAATTATTCTTACAGTCACTCACCCCAATTCTTGACAACCTTGCCGGTCTCATACATCTTAAGCCATTTCTGTATCTCGGTTTGGTGTTCAATCCTCTTCTCCCTCTCCATCTTGGCCCAGTCGAGCCACTTGAGAGCTTGACGGTAGGCGTCTCGGGCGTCAACATGCTGCTTCATGTGTGATAACAGCCGAGCTTTCCTCTTATACAGTTTGTATTTAAGTTCCTGTTGATGGAAAGATGACATTACATTTAAGTACATGAATAGTGATACTAAACTTATGTATGTTTAATTGATTATGAAATTATTAAAAAAACAGACAGCGCGGGAAGTACAGCGGGGCAGATGTGAGGTTACCCAGTGTGACCCTACCAAAAGTCGCAGGTTTTCTCTTGGTCCTCCGGCTTCCTCCTGTACTAACACTGGACAATAAAGGTCGTAATAAAAAATATCAAAGAACAGACCAACCACCCAAACGGCTAGTAAGCTGATAATTGGTGAAATGATAAATATAAATCACTATGCTTCTGGATACCCACAAGAGCAGAGTTTTTCTCTTATGCAGTTTGTATCCAAGTCCCTGTTTGTGGAAGGTTGGAATTATACCGGTATACTGTACTGTAAGGTATACTCAAGAAATTAGTGCAGTTATTTACTTATAGTACAGTTCTACATTACTTATAAGAAACACAAAGAGGCAGTCAAAGAGAATGAGTTACAGAGGAAGGAAGGAAGATATGCAACAAAATAATAAAAGTTACTTAACAAGCTACAAACTTGAGTGTGGCTCAGGATTCTGTCCACTCAGCGTAATAGCAACAAAGAGTTTTCATTTATATTACTGTACTATAAGTTTATTA